TAAGATGTTAAACTCTCTTTCTACCGCCATGCATATTTGACCCACAACACATATCATTAGCTTTGATTAACAATATTGTTATAGCATGCCATAAACAGTTAACAATTAGTAGTACAAAACTGTTGATTCCCTTACAAGCAACACTTGGCAATATTGGGACTCTCTTGTGTGGAATTCCTTATGATTTCAACCATGTCCATAAAGAAATTGAATGTCAATAAGTTGGGTATCCTTTTCACTTATCAATATACTCAATACTCTTTTAGGGATATCCTTTTCACTTATCTTTGCATGAAAAGTTCCATTGGTCAAGAACCACTTTGTTCATAAAGATATAATTGGACACTAGTACAAGCAGACCAACAATCTACATTAAGTCAACATAAGTTGGGTACGAGATCAAAAAGAATAAAATAAATTCATTTAGGCTTCGTTTGGGATAGGTTTCTTATAGATTCGGTTTTCAGATCGGAATCATGTTTGATCACTATATTTTTTTGTTGTTTGAAAAAAATGGTACTAGAAAAGCTACTTTCAACAACAGCTTTAAAAGTTACTTTCTCAACACCAGCTTTACAAATCAGTAAGAAAGTTGTCCCAAACATATCTTTAGGCTTCATTTGAGATAGTTTTCTTATTGCTTTCTTAAACATTTTTTTTTTGTGATGTGGAATCGTCCGTTGCCACGCCAAGCATCGCCGAGCGCGCTTAGCGGTCCGTAAACCCTGACCGACCTACTGAACCACCCACGCACGTCATTGTACTCGCAGCCGGCGCTTTGGGGCCCCTACTTAAGGGGCGACTGCCACTCGAGGGAATCGAACTCGGGATGGGGGGTTCCCAAACGAGCACGCCCACCAACCAAGCTAAGCATCGGTGGGTAAACAATTTTCTATTACAAAAAATTTATTGAAAGTCGAGTATGTCTTACGCGACTCTATGATCTTCAAACCTTTTCCGATGGTGAACACGACCTTGAGATCAAATTTGACATGATCAAGCCGATTCAAACCTCTCCATCTAATGGCTTTCTTAGACTGGACTTTAATCTTTGGAGTTGAGGCAATCTCAATGTTTATCACTAGCCAACTTCCACCTATAGATAACAATTAACATCCTTATCTCTGTCTCTCAGCCTCATAATTTCTCATCTCTTGGAATTTTAAGCACATTCATAAAATTAATCATTATTAAGAAAATATATAAGCATAGTGATTAATTATTCAAATTAATTTTCTCATTACTTTTAAAATTTTATCAATGTGCACTTAAAAAATATATATATTCTTAAATTAGTTATATAATCAAATGCATATATATCCCTAAACTAAATTTTATTTTAGTAGAAAGAATGCCTTAAGGGAATTTTGATAAGGTATGTCTAAAATTCATTATATGTCTCTTAACACTTGAAGTTGAATAAATATGTTCATTGTTTATTTTTTATGAAAGTTATTTTTTTTTTTTGGGGAAGTATATCCAAGAGTTTTCGACCGGAGTGACAAGTGAGATGGTTTTTTTATTGCTTTATAAAGCTGATTTTTAATACAAAAATTTATTGAAAGCAGGAAAAAAATAATGATCTAAAACTATCCCAAACAAAACCTTAGTGGATCTTAATCAAATTTGGAGTTCATACCATTTGTGGTAATAAGTAACAAATGTTTTTATTAGGGATAATCATACTCTTCTTAATGAGCATTATTATTATTTTTTCTTATTATGTTCATAAATATTTATTATAGGTTGTCAATCTTAATAATTAATTATTGATATAAATGCATTAGAAGACTCATAATAGATTTGGATTTTTGATGTAAAGAATATATTTTCATAAACATTAGTCATATTAGATGCAATAAAAATTATCCCTACAAATCATATTTATTATAAAAATTATAATTGTTATAATGACTATATAATACATTTGTAAATTTTCTTATGAAAAATAGAAAAATTAATTGCATATGTGTAGTGATATGTATGCTGGTAAAGCTCTTTTACATATTGACTAAACAGGCCGATAGAGTCACGATTTTATGGGAAATCACTGAATTTTTCGATATAGTAGGTTTTATTATAGTGTTTGATGAAACATCATCACATAAGTAGAATTATCACCAATAAATCTCATCTAGTATTTTAAGTTTTTATGATTGATTATTTTTATTTATTTCTTAGGTTTGGATGGTTTTATTTTTTTAAATTTTATTTTGATTTTTTGTTATTCCAACTATTCTCATTTTTAATTTATAGTTAAGAGATAAATTTTTAATTGTTCTTCTATTGCATTTGTTTTATATGTTGATTTTATATTTCTTTTATATTTTTTAAATAAAAAAATATTCATGTTCTTTTATTACTTGCTATTTTACTGAACTATATCAAATTGTACATATAATAAATTCAAATATAATTTTGAAACTGTTTTTTTTGGGATTTTTTTAATCAAATACACAAAATTCAAATTCATTGATTAATAGCCTATGACTACGTTTTTGGGATAAAATAGTTTTTTTTTACAAAAAAATTTTGAACTGAAAATTCTTGTTCTAAAAATATACTTCAGAAAATATTAAAGCTTCGTTTGGGACTTTATTAATTCTTAAAGTAATTTTCTATTACAAAAATTTAATTTTTTGTACTAAATAATTACTTTAAGAACCAATACGAAAGTCATCCCTAATGAAGCCTAAGACTTCATCTGAGATGACTATCTTACTACTTAAAAACAATTTTGTAATGTCAAAATTTTAATTTTCATATTAAAAAGTACTTCTAAAAGCAGTTAAAAACCACCCCAAACTAAAAAAATTATTCTATGCGAAGTCCGGATGCAGCTCTGTCTGAACACCAATAAAATTGTGACGCGTGGATTGCTCACGTGGATATTCATATGTATTATGTTTTATTATTTTTGTCTTATTTATATATTGTCAGCCCGACTAGCACGACCCACAAGTTTTTTCAAATTTAGAAAAAAAAAAAAACCTTCACCATTCGGTTCAATTTAGGGTTGGTCCTTCTTTTTCAGGATTTCAGCCGCTACAACTGTTTTAATATATAATCAACTTAGGGGTGGGCTTGCCTGGGGGGGGGGGGTGATTATGGGGAGAATAAGGTATTTGGGTGAGGAATTTTATTCTAGCTACTTAGGAAAATATTTCTTGTGGGGAAGGAGGGTTGAGTGTCCGAAAGTTCTGGATGCCTAGCAGATTGTCTACTTCCTCTTGGGTAATTCCTCGGAGGGCATCAAAAACCTGTCAATAATTTATTTGTTTGCAAATCTCCATTCTTCTTATAGATATTAATTAAAAATTGATGCATGGCAAATCTGCATATGCATATATATTTCCTTTAAATTAACAAATAATTTTTTTTTTGAATTATATGCCTTCACTAAATTATATACAATATCATCACCCAATCGAAAGAAACATGACATTTGGTCCTGGTACTTAGGGGCATGTATTGAAGTGTGCTAAAAGAATCAAATTAAGATCAAATGTAAATTAAGAAATGAATTAGTAAAATGAAATAAAAATTATGATGATGCTCTTAGCACTCACAAGTAGTAAAGACACAAAACCATTTATGTAACTAACTGACTTTTGCATTAAAATCTTCCTTAAAATTTTAATAAACTCTCGAACTAAAATTTTTGTAACTGATCTCGCCCAATTAATAGATAAAAACTCATCTACATTATTTGATATTGAACGGAGTCTCCTTGGGGTTTGAAAGTTATTAAGTTAGTAAAATAAATTTGAATACAAATACATAATAATTTTTTTTAACATATATAGTGGATGGGGGATTGATCTGTTCAACTCTATCATCTCGCACTTTACTTTCTTTGATGAGACTCCTGTAAGTGCAGAGCTAAGTAAGGAGAACTCTTGATTTATGTTTGGCAAACCTGTAAGAATTGCCACTTCATCTAATGTGAATTGTATAGCATGACCCTTTATTATAAAACATTATCGTGGAATATCCTACAGTTTGAGGAGCTCTTAGATCAGTTGGACATTCTGCTCGAGAGAAAGGAATTTCAGAAATTGGGAGATGTTTATTCTCCTCAAGATGTCCTCCACATTAGGGTTTATTATATTCACAAAGGTGTCGCTAATTGATCGGAAAGTTGATACATATCATCGAAAAATAAGAGGTCAAACATAGATATGAAATATTAAAGAAATAAACACATAAAATATGAAAAATTAAATATGCAGAAGATAGACAAAAAATACGCATAACCCTAAATAGGCAGCAACCAACATGCAATTATTAAAAAAAAAAAACAAACCATAAACCCTAAAAGGAGTCGAAAAGGAACAACAAACACAAAAATTTGTTAAGTACGAAATAAATACGTAGAACTAAAAACATAGTTTATATGCAGTAAATATGTAGAAGATATGCAGTTATTATGCAGACAATTATCACGACAAACAAATAATTGACTAACCTTTTTTTAAGATGAAGTCATTAGCACAGATGAAAGTGATCGAATACCAGAGTTGCAAAGATAACAATGAAGGCCGAAGATGCAAGGAGAACAACGAATAACAAAGAAAAAATAATGAATACTAGCATGAAAAGTGAAGCTTCTGCCATTGTATTATTTTTACCAGGACCCTGGGCGGGTTGGCCGAGGTCACAACAACAATAATAATAATAATAATCATAATAATATACAAATGAATATTCATGTGGGCAATTTACAAGTCATAATTTTATTGATGTCCACACATACAGCTGCATTTGAACTCCATTAAAAATAATCTCTCCAAACTAATCCCAAACAAATAACCCAAAGGAAATCGAACAATTATTACGTCCTCCGACCGAATGCAGAGGAACATTCGGTCTTAGGCAAAATTGCGCCTATTCCGAGGTGTACCGAGAACTCGGTACACCTCGGAATAGGCGCAATTTTGCCTAAGACCGAATGTTCCTCTGCATCTTTACACCGAACCAAATAAAATTTCAAGGAAATCATAGCTGAATGAACTGCTCTTGAAAGTCATCTTGCTTAAAAGTTCGTATCTCTGCATAATTTTCCTAATTTTCGGCGCAATCAATTGCCTTACACGCCGGGAAACGCTATTCAACAAGAGGGCCGAAAACCGAGATCTGCCATCTCGCAGTCATTGCCGCGACCTGCGGCCCTCTGTTGATTTTCGACGCTTTCTTCCTTCGACCTCGGCGCTGGCCATTGCCGCCGCCGCCGCCGTCATCCTCCCGAAATTGGAGGATCTTTCAGTGAGCAACGGGTGACTTACCATGCCCTCGGTCAGGCGCACTCTCTTGCCAGCACACCAACACAACCACGATAGACCTCTTCCCGTGCCATTGACCTTTGAAATGAAAGACAAAGATCAAATGGGACATGCTTCACCACGTTCTTCGTCTTCCCCTTCTCTTCGGCCCTTTTTGGCAATATTCTCGATTGTTGCCCGTCTCCGCCGCATAGGCCTCCTTGGTTTGGAGATATTTCTCCCGAAACCCTCTTCCCGCAAGCGTTGGAGGCCGCCGCTTACCTGGAGCTACTGCAAGCGCTCCCTCCTTCGCTTCTTCTTTTTCTTTCTCTTAGGTTTCTTGCTCGCCATCTCTCCCTTTTTTGATATCGGCTTTGACAGTTCCCTAACCTCTACTATCTGGCCTACCACACAACATCCACTGCTTTCCCGTTCTGAGATCTCTTCTGCACGAAGGGAACTCGGGACGATTTTCAGCCCACCAAGTGCTCAATCGGGGCATAAGGAGATTGCGCCTATGCCTGCGATGGGTTCCAAGCTTCTCATCATTGTCACACCCACCTACAACCGCGCACTCCAGTCCTACTACCTCCACCGCCTTGGCCAGACGCTTCGACTCGTGCCTCCGCCCCTTCTGTGGATAGTGGTTGAGATGGAATCCGCTTCTGAAGAGACTGCTGATGTGCTCTGGAAAACGGGCGTTATGTATCGTCATCTCGTGTGCAAGAAGAAATCCAAGGAGGTGAAGGACCGGGGTGTGCATCAGCGCAACACCGCTCTCCAGCACATCGAGAACCATCATCTTGATGGCATTGTCTATTTTGCCGACGATGACAATATTTATTCCCTCCAGCTCTTTTCCAAGCTGAGGGAAATCAGGTAATACTTGCTTGATTTATCTAAGATAAAATTGTCTTTTTGGGTTTTCTTTTTCAAATTTTTCTTCTTGGGTGGAAGATACATCAGACTAACATCCAGCAGTTCACTCCACGGTATACGTAGGTGAAAAACTTGATTATCTATGATCTACCACCATTTTCTTCGGCCTTATAATTGTGGTGGATGAAAAGTCCGTGGTTTTCTTGTTTTCAGCTGGTAAATCATTTCGTTCTGATTTCTGCCTTTTATTCAGTGCATCTGGTTAAACAGATACTGCATTTTTTTTCTTGCTCGAGCTTCTTATCTCTTTTAGTCATTATGCTTATTTAAATTTTAATTTTTTGCATGAATGTTGTAACTATAACACCAAGACCTTATAAATTGGGTTTGAAACGGTGGGAAAATAAGAGATAAACTCAGTTAGCTTAAAATGTTGGTGGGAGGTCAAATGTCGCCGTTCATGTCTCTTAGGGAGAGGATCATGATTATGCTATTATTGATGTGGTTAGCAATTGTTTGGTTGCTTGGGTGATGTCTTTATGGTCACACGACTGTTTCTTGAAGTATTGGAGTTGTCACCAGTTCTTCTGGATATGACTATATTATGTTGACTTGGAATTAAAAGCACAAGTGGTGTAGTGTGTTGGAATATTCACAGTGGCAGAGAGAGAGTGTTTAACTTCCTAGCTTTTTATGAAGGTTCTACACACACATAAATAAAAGATGAGCTAATAAGCATGTAGTTTCCATGCAAGAATGATCAAAAGATTATAGGTCGGTGAATCATGGCCAAGCGATGGAGGCCTGAGGATTGGGATTTGACAACAATAGTCGACGGATGACGGAGGTTGGATGAACCATAGTCGATGGTGGAACGACGGTCAAAAGGATCATACACAAGAAATGGTGATCGGAGGAACTGTAGTTGTTGGATGACGGAGGTCGGAGGACATAATCAAACAATGATCGTCAGAGTAATGTAGTTAGTGAGTGATATAGGTTGTGAGGATCGTTATCGAACGATGGTGGCTGGAGGACCATAGTTGGCAAGCGATGCTGGTCTATGGATGGTAGTTGGTGGGTGACCGTGGTCAAAGATCCGTAGTCTGGCGAAGGTAGTCAGAGAACTGTTGTCAGGTGACAGTGGTCTGATGACCATAGTCTGGGGATTTCGGAGGTTGAAGGAATCCTAGTTGGCGGCATGATGGAGATGGGAAGGATCATAGCCAGGCAATGGTTGTCGGAGGGACATTAGTTATCAGACGATGGAGGTCGGAGGGACATTAGTTATCAGGCGACAGAGATCAAAAGGATCATAGTTAGGTGATAATAGTCGGAGAATCGTAGTTGGACGATGGTGTCGGAGGTCATAGTCAATGGATTATGGTCTAAGGATCAAGGTCAAAGGACCATCATCAGATGATGGTGGTTCAATGGTGGTGCACTGGTGGTTGGGCGGAAGTTTGACGGTGGAAGCCATGCTTCGAAAGTCCGGCAACGATTGTCGGGCAGTGAAAGTCTTACTACAACGACCTAACGAAGGTTAGATGGAGATGGTCTATCAGCGAGGATCTAGCCAGGGAGGTCGGGCGAAGGTCCGTCGGCGACGATCACACAAAGATCTGTTATGATGGTGCTTGGGTGGAGCTCCGGGATTCTTCAAGCATTGGAGCTTTCTTAAGTCTCTAGCCCCAACTTCAAGCCCCCTCCATGTAGAGATAAGTGTCTTATTTATAGATTTTTGAGAGTGGCATGATCGTAAATATAAGAAAAATTCGAAGCACTCCATCAGATTGATTGTATTTATTCCCTTGATCATATATTATTTCCTTAGCATTTAAATCCTAAATGATATTGAAATTAAGCAATATGCGCTCGTTGGATTCGTCTCATCAAACCGCTCGATTTGACTATAAGCATGTCAAATTTTGGAGATCATTGGTCATCCAATTAATGTTTTGAAGTTTCTAATTGCGCTTCAGGCTCTTGAATTGGGCTTATTTGGGTTCGAACGAGATCTTTTTTTCGTGTCATTGGGTTCTTCTCATCGTGACATTAAGTTCGACTATAAGTTTGCTAAAATTGGAGTTCAAATGGTCTAGAATTTGATTTTAGAAGTTTCTAACTTAAATATACATGGAGATTCGTGCTCAACCAATATAATTTTTTGGTGATGTATCAAGTGGCATGATTGTACTCTTCAAAATTTATATGAGATTTGATTTGTTGGAGCAACCCAACCAAAGTCTTCAAGTATTGGAGGTCGAATTCATATTAAAATGAACCTTCTCAAAGGCCCTAGGTAACAACTACTTAGGCATCAATAGATTTCAAATCTTAATTATCTAGCATCTCTCGCTAGAATCGAGTCACAAACTATCGGAGTGACTCGTTATTCTCGTCTCATATTCAAAAGAGCCTTAAGAATTTCTTAGTAGTCTTTGCGCATTGGAAAAATGGATAATAAATTGTCGGTTGATGATGCTAAAGGAGTTGATGCTGCACAATGAGAGCCATGAACACTTAAGGGTGCTTCGTCAAAAGTAGTGAAGATCAAGCAGCATTTTATAACATCACCAATAGTGAACTGGTAGACTTGAAGTGAGCAAGTGGTCAATCATATTAAACTTGCCCTTGAAAGATTTTAGTATAGGCATCTTGAATATAGTGGGAGATTGAGCTTCAACAATTTCAACCGGAAAGGCATTAGTGGCTGAGGTGGATAGTTGTCAGCTCAGTGAAGGAGAGGAGTCTCTCCAATGATCTTCTTGATTTATCTCGACTCAATGTAGGAAAGAACCGACAAAACAACTCGTAGAGAGGCTTGTTAGCGAAGAGCAGGAGAGGTGAGCCACGACTCTCGGGGCATATTTGTTATAGGGACTTGCTGAGGGAATCTCTCAAAGATTCTTTGGATTATTCGAATAAGACAATCGTCCATGTTCTAAAGCTGCTTGAAGGTGATGACTTCATTATTATTATGGTTGATCAATAAGAAATGTTTCACAGATCTATTCATGATTTGGTTACTAGTCTTTGGCATTGTCCATACTCACAATACTTTGAGGACATTAGATCAAATGTTGCCCATAGATTCTCATCGAAACTTTGCAATAAGTTCAGATTGGGTCTGAAGAGGGTAAATGAAAAGAAAAGAGAAGTTGTCAGTCAAATAATTTCTTTGCTTAATTGGGATTATAGAGCTCTAGAGAGAGAAACTCTTGGGTAATTTTGAGGACAATGATTTTGTTAGGAAGGTGCATAATTAAGTCATATGAAATAACGCGTTTATGATCCTCAACCCCTTGTTTATACTTGTGGTCCAAGGTTAGTGGTACATAATTGGTTACAAAAAATAACAAGAAAAGTAAATCAATCATTTGAGCATAGCCGCTCTTGTAACGAGTAAGCCGGGTTGCCATCTATGGATTTGGTGAGAACTATAGATGATTTCCAAGAATAGGGTGAGAGCCTGTGGCGAGTTCCTTTGGAGAGAACTGATACGTCTTGGGAAGTAAAAATAGCAAATAAAAGAGAAGAACAATGTAGGAACACAAAGATAGGGCTGATTTTTTTATTTCTCCTTTAATAATAAAGCACGATACAATTGATCTACTATTCGAGAGGTAGACCAGCTCTCCCGCAAATCCTAGACGTCACTAGGAACTCACAACAAACACTAGGAAAATAAGCTCAGCAATATTCTACCATAAACCATAGACAAACTCCCTCTTAAATAGCCCTAGAATACAATAACACAATTAAAACCATCCTAATCAGCATAAAACATAATTTAGGAAACCTTTCTAAATAAATAAGAACTTCGTAATTAACATAAACATAATTTAGGAAACTTTTCTAAATATTTTCCCTTAATCATGAACTTTCTTAAACAACTACTTGAATAGAAACCTTTCCTAAACAAATAAACCCTTCATAAATATCTCTTCCTTAATTTCCCCTCCTTATATAATGAATTACAACTTCCCTGGGCCTAACAAGGATGGTCGAAACCCCCCTTTGATTCCTCCCCTGGTTCTGCCCAACACTTGGGCTTGTTCAGCTCCTGTTGGAATAACCGGCTGGGTCGGTCCAGGTATTTTCCTGATGTTGCTGCCCCTCTTGTTTGTTTTTGCTCTCAAGCCCCCCCCACCCCCCCCCCCTAACGTATCAATAATCTATACTTTGTCAATGAATAACTTAGATGAACTACTGATTTCTTGAATTTGAAACGTAGCTTGTTGGGTTGTTGACTTCTAAAGTTTCTTGGGTTCTTCAATGTTTGAGTTTTGAGGTCCGAGTAGAGCTCTTTGGTCTAGAAGGTAGGAGCTTTGTCAAGCTTTAATCACGGGCAAGTAGGAGCAATGAACAAATCAAGGCTATGGGCAACTTTTATATTTGGCTGGTTAAACCAGTTCTGAGTAAACAAATTGTAGGTCTTAATTCATGCTTAATGATTGATTTTATCCACCTAAACTAAACAAATTTGAGTGTGCAATGCTTATATTAGTTTGTCCTAGAAGGCGTGTGAGCTATGAACTTTTACTAACTTTAACATTTTTCTTTCTTAGTATTTAGATGAGCCCTTTTTCTCGTAATTTATATGTTAATGGTTTTTTAATATTCCTTTTTATACTTTTTCCACATGGATTTTAAAGTTCAACTAATGCAGAGCTATTTTTATTGAAATTTAATATTTATTTATTTTATTCTTAGATAGATTCTCTTTTTTGGTGTAGAACTGATGCATTAGTACGTACAGGAGATTTGGAACTTGGCCGGTTGCCATGCTTGTTCAGAGTAAAAATGCTGCAACAATTGAAGGCCCAGTATGTAACGGAAGCCGAGTTATTGGGTGGAACACTAATGAGAGGAGCAAGAGACTTCGAAGGTTTCATGTGGATATGTCTGGGTTTGCATTCAATAGCACGATAATTTGGGATCCAAAGAGATGGTATCAGGGTGCTTCAGCTTCTGCGAGGCAACTAGATACAGTGAGAGAAGGTTTTCAAGTATGTCTTCTTTATTGCTCAAGTTACTTTATAAAACTGTAAAAAAGTTATCCCAAATGAAGCTTTAAATTAAATAGTTGATTTTTAGTAACGGACTCTATGGTTGATGCTTGTATTTCCATTGTTTTGACATCAGGAAAATTAATAAAAGTATATTTAACTAGCCAAATACGTGTTCCAACAAGATAGACATTACGAAGAATTACAGACATATCCTTACAAGTCACAATAAAAGTACTACAACCGCTTGAAGCAAGTTATACTAGGCTATTATAAAGTCATATCAAACTAGTTTGATATCTCACCCTGCTCGATTGACTTGAAATCAAGCTTTGATCCTGGAAATTTGGGCTATTTTAGCTTAATTGTTAATTTATCTTATTGCTGCCTCACACATAAAATGTCTTGTTGATGCAAATCTTCTCGTCAAAACAAGTCATGCGCCTTGAGTCGAGCAAGTTGATTATGTGAGTATTGATTTTATTTTAATTATTTGTGATTCATAGTTCTTAAATTTTGTATTAGTAATCATGACTGAAATTATTCCTTTTGAGAATGGTTTGTGTTATGTCTCTAATTTGGTACTCGATTGATGTTGGTCTAGCCAAGGATTCTTTAGAACTATTGATTCTCTTAAGTCATTTCAGGGCTGCAAACGAACCAAACCGAGTCGAGTATGTGAGTGTTCTTGTTTGAGTTTGTTTATTATTAACTTGTTCAAGTTCAGTTTGTGTTTGATTCGAGCTTTATTGTTTGTGTTCGTGTTTGGTTTATTTAAATTAATGGTGTTCATGTTTGGTTCATGTTCGGTTCGTTTAGTGCTTATCGAGCTTTAACGAGATCTGTTCGTGAACATATTTAGCGAATTTTTTTAAACTATCAAACAAGCATGTTCATGAACAAATCTAATGAGTATTCTTGAGCTATCAAATGAGCAATATCTAACAATGTAATATAATATATTAGTAATTATAAGGAAATTAAAACTACAACATATATTATAATATTTAATTATTTTAAAATTTATTAATTAAAAATAATTATATCATTATATTATAATAAATTAAAATATTTATATTATGTATATTTATCAATTTTATAATTAAATATTAATCAAGCTTTTATCGAGCTTAATGTCGAGCATTTTCACGAGCTTCAAATGATGTTGTTCTTGAACATAAATGAACCGGACACTTTAGTGTTCAAGCTTGTTTATTTAAGGATTGAGTATTAAAAATGTTGTTCAAGTTGGTTTGTTTAGTTAGTTAAACGATCACAAACGAGCTTTAATCGAACCGAGCAACAAGTAGCTCGTCGGACGCTTGGTTCGCTTGCACCCTAGTCATTTGGTTTCACATCAAGCTTGGTTTTTGGGCTTTTGGTCGAATCTTTATTTGATTTTTTCGTTGAAGTTATGGATAAATTGCTATTTCTACCCTAACTCAGCCCACAGATATGCCTCCTAGTTAGCGTTCTGTTGGCCATCCACTCTCAGTCCGCCTCACACTTATTACACCCCAAGGCATCCACCCCGCTGCCACTTCTGCCAACCCACTAACCAAGCCCACCAACTCTTCATCACTTTAGTTTATTGCTATCTCATTGATTCATATGCTCATGGATGCAACTTGACCGATCCATGTGTGTTGTTTTGTTGTAACTAATTATATGGCGAAATTTCTGTCTCTGATTTTGCATATTTCATATTAGAAGCTTTACTAGGATTGCATAAATACTTGATAAATACTAAAATGAATCTTAACTAATTCTCTCCAATCTTGGATTGTATAAATACTTGATCAATACTAAATTAACTAATTCTCTCCAATTCTTGCATCATATTAGAGCCTTAGTTTTTTTCTTAGAATTTCTCTAAGTCGCAACCTTCATTCGTGCTTTGCATGGAACTTGCAAGGGCCTTCATTGCTGCTGATCTCATTTATTTCCACATTCTTCTGTTTTGTAGCATTCATTTCTGCATTGCCAGAACCTTGAAGTGTTGCGAACTGAAAAATTAATATCTTAATTTGAGGAAAAAATATTGTTTTAGTCCACTTTGATTTTCTTTGGATTTGTTGTGTTACTTATAAACTATATTTTGACCTTAAAAAAGCCAATTATTAATAATTGATCAACACGTAATAATATTTATGTGGTTGGAGCTTTTATGGTTTTGCTATATTTTATAGATTGTTCATTAAAAATTTTAATACTATAATAACAACAATAACTTATCTTAAAAAAAGAGATTTTAAATGGACAAATTTTAACTTATTGTGCTGAAAAGAATATCGAGGGGCTTACAAGCTCACATGTACTTAAACTGCTTGATTCTAATAAGGTTTTTGATATTTTCTGTAATAATGAAGTATATGTATTGAAAGAGTTTTATGTCAAAAGAGACATTTGCTTTTATTTATGAGAAATGGAATGAGGTTGAACAAAAATATTCAAATTATGACAAAGTATTTTGTACAATTATGCAAGTACTAGGATACTGGAGACATTATATGTTGTCTAAAGAGTTTGTCTTTTGTTATAATCAAGTATTAAAATATTTGAATTCCCAAATGAAAGCAAGACACATTGATGCTAAATTGGCTGAGTTTTTGTGGGGTTCACGTTTGTATTGAAACATTTTGTCGTGGTTAAGAACAAGTTTGTTGATGCGTTAAGTACAGCTGGTATTGTTTTGAATACAATGAAAACTAAAGTGTCCATATTTGATTATATTAAGAAAGAATAATTCATCACTTATATTAGGACTTAAATAATGATTCATCTATGCTTAAAAAAATAAATGATTAAGAATGGTTAGCCTTAAGAGAGCTCATTTATGCATTCTTGATTCATCTGAATAAGATTTGCTATTCTAGAATTGCATGCTTGAGGTGTTTTGGCATATTTTGGTCAGGATAAAACAATGAGTATGACTATGAATAGATGCTACTAAGTTTAAACAGAGATTTAGTGCCAATTGTTTCAAGCGTAGAATTTGTTACACATCCAGATAGAAAAAAATAATATTGATTGTTACGCACCTTTACTTGTTCCTTTTAAAGCCTTGAGAAGATGTGGACATGAACTTTGTGCTAGGATTATCATGAGCTTTTACTTTATTTTTGTTGTATTGTTTTTTTCCTTTCTTTTTTAAAGTAAGACCTATTTGCCACTTAATACTATTCTATTTACATATTTAACATCTAAAACTTTAATATTACATAAATACCACCCATAGTTCATTTTCATACAAAATATGAGTGGTAGAAATGAAATATATGAGTGGTAGGAAAGAAATATAAGTGGTATATTTGATATTAAAATAATATAGGGTGGTATGGATGTAATATTAAAGTTTTAGGTGTTAGATATGTAAATAGGATGTTATAAAGTGGTATGTATGTAAATTTCCCTAAAATTAATGATGTATTTCAGATAGCAAAATTTTATTATAATAAAATGCATAAATTGCATTATTGACTTAAAATTGTTATGTTTGATAGATTTATGAAATTCATGTATTACTTTTAGAAATTTTTGTGAAAAAAAAGTGAATTTAATTAGAATTTTCAATTGCTTATCACACATAAATTAATAAACAAGTTGAGTTTGTAAATAGGGATTCAATGATTTGTTATGATATATGATTAAAATGCATGCGTCTGGCTTGGATTTGTTATTGCTAAATATTCAGCTTCCATAGAATTCATCTGCTATTAAATTTTTGTGTGCGAGTTCATTGAAATGCTTTTTGAGTTTTAACCTAAAAAACTCATAGATCTTGTTGAACTTTCTGTTGAGTCTATGTCTAGTAAATTTGCATAATAATTTGCACAACATGTACATTAGTTGCATGAAGATAATCATAGGAAGCTGGCTGTTAATTATAGCGATTATAGATCATTATATGGTGAACAGGAGATACGCACCTATCAAACCAGGCGATGAAGTAATAATCCATCTAAATCTTGAAAATTCCTACAAGGGCCTTTAAAAATTTAACTATTAAAAATGCATGGTTATAAAATTATACAATACATTTGTACATGCTTAAGATTTTGAGAAGTTCTAATGGTAGTCTAGTTTTTAATTTATTTAATTTGGCTTTATTTTATGAACCAATTACTAATATCTTGGATTTCTTTCTTTCTCTCCATCTCTTTCTTGGAAATTTACATACTATACTAGTTTTAGATCTGCAATCTTCCCATCATGTCAACTGAATGTAATATTTCGCTCCTTTTTCCGGAATGAACTCCATTATTAATATTGTAGTGATGTAGAGATCATAATCCATGCACTGCAACTGTGCTTTTATTGTCTTAATATTTAATCATTCAATTAGCCATGTGCTAAAGAAAGATACATGTCTACAATGGACGTACGTGTCATGTATATGCATAAATATCTTTTTTTCATATGCATAAATATATGAATATTGTAACTAAATTCAATGCTATCTTCAATTTAATTTCTTTTTCTTTTTCTTCTTTTTTATTTATTTGAATGATTTTTCAAGGCCACCCAAATCTTCACTTTCAGCTTATAGTTCTATGTTTTTGAAACAGAAAATTTGGTGTTCTAGGATTTATTTTGGTCCTCATAAATTTTCATCTAATGGTGACTTTACTGTTATCTTTTCTCTGCAGGAAACAACATTTATAGAGCAGTTAGTTGAAGATGAAAGTCAAATGGAGGGTTTGCCTCGTTGTTGCTCAAAAATCATGAATTGGCACCTTCATCTAGATGCTAGACATCTTGTTTATCCTAAACGATGGCAAGTCTCATCGAACCTTGAACAGGGTCAATAAGTTTTCCATGGTCTCTTCCTTCAAGCAGGTTTTTATTTTGTTATAAACTTAATCTCTCCCTTTCTTACCTCTTTCTTTTTTATTTTATTTTTATTATTTTAGGATTAGGTGAGTGGTTTAATTGTTTGACTGCTGGAAGAGGATAATGGATTTGTAATGCGTGCCTCAGCATCAGGGAAAGAAACAGGAGATTAGCAGACAATCTGGGGATTTTATCTTAGGAAGTTCCTTTGTTGCTAGAGTTAGTGACTGTTAGAAAAGGTCCAATTTGTCGAAACAATTGGAAGGTTCAAAGAGTCAGGAATGAGGATAATGGATTTGTGGAACATAGACTATGAGAAGTAGCCGATATTTTCAGATTCCCAAAGATCTCTTGTAGTGAAAGGAACATAATGAATAAAACAACTGACCTAAGTGCCAATTTTAAGACTTGGCCAGTGGCTATCCAGTAATATTTGAGAATTGTCTGATTGGTTTTGTATCGCATATGATTGTGATTTTATCTGCATCATTGTTGAAATATATTCAAGATGCCAAAATGTTTGATTCACCATAGAATTGGACCTTCTATACTATAGCCTAAATTAATTCAAAATGGTCCAACCAAACTTGTTGAGGAGTTATATTTAAGGGGTGGAGCTTTTTACTCGGGCATGAAGGAATTGGGTAGGTGCCAACTTTAATTAAGATGGCATTGGAAGGATCTTGAAAATTTTAAAACAAAGATATGATTTTTTGTGGATGTAATGGTGTGGTGGAATGAATTTACTATATAAAAAAAAAGTTCTGAAGTAGGTGTTGTGTTTATGATGAAATTTGGCAATCTTGGGCTCCAATGTTTGAGAAAATTTTAAAGCTCGCCATCTTATGAGGATCATTTCAAAACCAATAAAGAGTGAAGAGGATTGTAGCCATGGAGGTCATTGACATGATGGCCATTGATCATAAGCACAACCCAGTAAGAGTGGAGGGAGTTGCCCAAGTTGAACTGTGCCATTAAAGTTCAACATCTAAAAATTAAATGTTGATTTTATGTCACTCTTAATAGGTTACAATCAAAATTAAACTAAAATAAATAAGCAAGCAGCAAATTGATTTATCATTATGTGGCCATTAACTTAGCCTACATCCACTCCTTACAATTCTCTCTTTTTGGGAATTCCACTTAATACGTATGACTATGAAGGTATTGCTGGGACCATTGTTTGTTTGGTGAGATCTAAGACCATGCTGAACTTTCATGTGATGTCTAATGCCATTAAATGTCAAGTTTTATTGACCACTTTGAAGGATATTGCCCTTGGGTTGTTTTTCATATTGGTTCTAAGAAGCATCAAATACTTTGATGATTTCAAGAAGCAACTTTTGGCTCATTTCTCTGTCCCAAAACTGAGAAGCTGATTAACTCTCTTAAACTTAAGGTAGAAGAAGAGTCTTTGTGTTCATATGCTATCAAGTTTATTAGAATCATGTTATTGGTATAAAACCCTGATCCATTATTTCTGATGCTGACGAGAGGCATTATAAGGTGGATTAGTTGTTGGAAATGGCTACAAGAGGTTGCCTTATGATGTGGCAGATCTGGAGTTGATGGGAGAAGGGGATGATCTTAGGATGCGATGAAGTGGAAAAATTAAGACTAGCTTTAATGGATCTAGTTTGGGCTTATTTGGCTTACCTCCTTTATTATTGGATTTAAGGATGGCTGAATGATAAGAAATGACTATGAAGGGATAGCTCAAGATATTTAGTTGCGATCTGAGTTTTAAAAGGTTAGAATTTATGAAAGCATGGAGAATAAGATTGGATAAGGATGTTTCTATGCTAGACCAATACCTTCAAGGAGACTTCTAGGATTGTTTTGATGGCTTGGTTGATGTTGGATGATCTTAAGAGATAGCTAGGTTTGAGTGGAATGTGTTGGAGGGGTTTAGAAGAGATGTTATAAAGAGAATCAGCAAGCACACCAAAATATTTAACATTTCCCACTAAGGTCAAGGTCAGCCACTTAGCTCCAACTAAGTTTTTAATTATTCAAAAGGTTAAATATGTCATTACATTTTAGTACTATAAATAAATGTTACATAGACTTTTGAACTGCCACAATTCAAAAAACAAAAAGGAAAAAAGGTTGGAAAAATGGCTACATGAATTCTTACATGGAATCTTGTTCTAAAGTTTATAACTTATCCTTGAAATCAGGCAGGGTTGGGTATTTGTTGAATGGTGTTCCATTGGGAAATAAACATTGCATCTATTCTCCACAAATCATTTATATGGTTGGCCAAATAAATTTGATTTATTTTCGTGATGATGTAGCAATGTCTTGGACTAAAATTTTATCTCAAATTTTATCTCACATAACTTTAATATTTTGACTTTCCTTCATTATATATATATATATAAATATAATTATCCTTTATGACATATTATAATTGTTGCGTGCTAGAATATACGCGGCAGTAGAGTTAGAAAATATTCGTCTTAACGTTGCACGAGTATTCCGCACACAAACAGAAAAAAGAAATGAACACCAAAGTTTTTACGTGGAAAACCCAAAAAGGGAAAAAACCACGGGGCCTCGCCCAGTTGTAAAGTTCCATTCGTGTTTGTATGGAGTACAAAGGTTGATCCGTCTTACAAATTAAGAAGATCAGTTTACAATCAACTTC